CTGGCAGCGCTGTGGCTGTGGTGTGCTTCTGGCGCTTCTGGGTTCTCCGGCGCATCCACCCGGATGCCACGGTCTCGGGCGTGCTCTACCTGCGCGTGCCGGCCGGAGCGGCGCCCATCATCCTGGAAGACCCACGAGGCTCCGTGCCGCCATTTGGCAAGCGCGTGATGTCGCAGAAGGGAAGCGGCACCGGCAAGGTCTCTCGGAAGTCCGCGCGGATTTCTCGGAGCTGCGCTGGGCCCCCCTCCCTGGCGAGCGGAGCGCGCCAGAGGAGGCGCTGGAGGCGCCGCTGGATGGTGCCCAGCGCGGATCAAGGCATTCGCGCGGACATCCAGAGCTTCCGGCTGTGCTTTTTTACCTTCTTCGGTGATCCACGACCCCGAGCCAGGGGAGCTCCTCATGTTCCCGCCGTGGCTCTCTCACATTCGGCCGCGCGCGAGGGGGGGAACTGAGAAGGAGAAGGCCTTCTCAGAAGGTGGCGGCGCTCCTCAGAAGCCCCCCGGCCTTCTGAGACATGTTACGTGCCTCTGGGGAGGGCGTCGAAAACTTCTCATCAGAAGGCCGAGGGACTGCCGAGCCTGCTGAGGAGGCCCGCCCCTCCTCACCTCGTCCCCGCGCTCGCCGCCAACACGTGGTCCCGGCGGGCGCGGGTGCGGCTACCTGCGCGGAGTCCCGTGGCGGTGTCCCCTCGCGGCTCAGCTTGGCGTTCAACGTGCTGCTGCCCGGTGACCTCCCGCTCGGCGGGCTGGAGGCGACCGCGGACGCGTCGCTCGCTCTGCCGCTCGCCCGCTCGCCAAAGAGGTGACGCTTGCCCCACAGGTTCGGGGCTCGGGAGGCGGGGGTCGATGCGAACGGGGGTCAGTCGGAGCGCCAGAAATCTTGCAGGACCCTGCGGGGCTAGGGGTGCATGGGCCACGGCTTGGGTGTAGGATCCTGCAGGATCCTGCAAGAAGCCTGACTGACCCGGATCTGGATTGACCCCGGGTCGTGACACCTGTTCGTGGTGGGTGAGGGGACGAGGTGACGACTCGAGGTGAGGGAGGACCTACTCGTGACGCCCTTCCCCGCCCTATCTGACCCTCCGGTGTCCCGAGGGCGCGGCGAGGGATCCGCTTCTGCCCTGCTAGTGCTGCGCGCGGCAGTTGCAGAATGCGCAGAGGAGGGAGAGGTGCCGATTCCGATGCCGCTACGTTTCCCTCGTTTCGCCCTTTTGGGCCTCCTGGGAGGCCCTCGTCGCCACGTCCGGATTCGCCCCGAGATCCTGGTCAGAACGAACCCCGGACGTCCGGGAGTAGCGGTATCAGTACCGGCCCGGTTTCCTCAACGCCAGCGCGGTAGCCCGCGAAAGTGCCCCGATGACCTCGCGCAAGTCGAGGCGAAAGCGGGCGTGGTGGCCCTCGCGGGCCTGGTGGTTACTCGCGGCAGCCGCGGAGTGCAGTGCGGCAGCCTGTGGTGGTGCCCTGGTGGCTCGGTGCAGGACGAGGTATGGGCGTTGGCGTGATGGGCACGGCGACGTGGCCGGCGTGCAGCTGCGCGCCGGCTCCTCCGACCACTTTGGCCTTAAGTCGGGCATGCACCTCTACAGAAGGAACATTCGAGCATGGTAGACACATCGTCGGGGGACGATTTGTCGATTGATCTTGTCCATTTGATTCCGAAATCCGCCTGTAGGAGGACATGCCCGACCCAATTCTTGTCCGAACACTTTTGACCCCATCTGTCGTTGGCATGGTGGCAATGCAGCGCCGTGCGTCGCACGCTGGAAGGATCTGCCGCGCAGCAGACGACCACTCGTGCCGAGTAAGGCTGATGCCATGCATCGCAGCAGGTGGGAACTACCGCTGCTATGTATCGACATGCGCGCGCCTGGTTCCGATCTGTCCCATCCCTCGATCCGGCCCTTCTTCCTCCAGTAGATGGACAATATTTTCGAACCCTCACACATTCGAGGGAGATTCTGAATCACCCCCGCGCCCCCGACATCAATGTTGATCTCAGCAAAGGCGGTGCTTTGGGGTTCGAATATTTCTGCCCACTCACGCCCCCCCCGTCGCCACGCCATCAATATTAAGTTCGGGGGTTCGGGGGGGCATCTTGGGCCACAGGGTTCGAATATAATGTCCATGTACGGTCCCCCTCCGTAGCCATTTCCCTGGGGCTCCCGCTGGCCATCTTCCTCGAACTTGCCGACTCCGATCTCTTCGCGCCCCCAGGGGTGGGGCAGGCCCCTCCACGACAGGGGGACCCTGGGCCAGCCACAGCTGGAGGAGGAGGAAAAGGAGGAGGAGGAGGAGGAGGAGGAGGAGGAGGAGGGTGAGGGTGAGGGCAATTGGGAACGCGCCGGTCGTGCCGACGCGCCCCACCCGCGGCGCACGCGCCCCTCGCTCAGCGGACGCCGCCCTCGGCGGCCTGCGGAGCGCGAGGCTGGCTCGGCGCGGTGGCGGCGATCCGCGCCCGCTTGGCTGGCGGACCGCCAGCGGGCGCCCCGCGGGTGGCCGCAGGTGGCCAGCAGCAGGGGCGGGGGCCACGGCCTGCGGGCGCGGCAGCCGCAGCACGGCGCTGCCGTTTCGCCTCCTGGCCGAACTCGCCCTCCTCGGCGGTGCTGCTGCGGCCGCGGGCGGCACGCAGGAGGAAGGCGACCTTGTCGTGGAAGCTTGCATCCGCAGGAAGACTGCGGGGAGGCGAGGACGGCTTCGCGCCCGTGGCGCTCCTCGCCTCCCCTTCATGCTCTCCTGTCCCGCAATTTATCACAGGATGCGGGCAACTGTCTGACCCAGCCGAAGGACCTGGGGGAGCCGCTCCCAACGGGACTGGTTCCCCCAGGTCTGCCGTCCCGAGGACCGAGTCGCCCAGCGCGTCCTCGATCGCGTCGCCCAGCGCGGGGTAGGACTCGACGCAGGTGACATCGTCCAGCACCTCGCACCCCAGCGTAGTGTCGGCGAGGTCCTTTGGCGAGAGCCGCTTCGGGATCAGCGGTTCGCACGGAGCTAGGCCGATCTCCCTCACGGATCGACCCGCAGCACCTGCGCCTTCACGCAGCTCCTCCCCGATCGTGTCGCCCATCTCGTAGCGACCCGTCTCGTCCAACGCTCCTTCGACCTCTGAGCCCTGCGCATGGGGACCTGACCCTTCCAGGACTGCTGCTCCGACCGAATCGCACTTCACAACATCCTCCCGCTCGAAGTCGGTGGCGTGGGGCCTTGGCGAGAGCCGCTTTGGGATCAGCGGTTCGCACGAGGCTAGGCCGATCTCCCGCACGGGTCGACCCGCAGCACCCACTCCTCCACGAACAGCCTCGCCTATCAAGGCGTCGTCCAGCATGTGGTGGTCCACTCCGTCCCGCATGGCAACGGCCTCCGTGTTCATCGCCTGTGGGGTGGCTGTCCCCTCAAAGACTGTCGCCTCAGAGGTTAAGTCGCTCGTCACAACAACCTCCTGCTCCGTGTCGACGGCGTGAGGCCTTGGCGAGAGCCGCTCTGAGATCAGCGGTTCGCACAAGGTTTGGCCGATCTCCCTCATGGATCGTTCCGCAGCTCCCACTCCTTCCCGAGGAGCCTCCTCACCCATGTCGTCCGTCACGTAGTGGTCCACCTCGATTGGCTCGCGGTGGCCTTCCTCAACCAGTGCAGGGAGAACCTGGCCTCCTTGTCGCTCTGCGGCTCGCGCAGCAGCACGTGCAGCACGGCGTCGACGAGCCAGTAGCCTCGGGCCAATCACCAGCTCGGCCTCCTTCCTCACGAACCTGCGCTGCCCGCTAACCTTCGGCCATAGGCCTCGAGCCAGCCGCTGGAGGTAGTCGCGACCAGCCCGCGAGGGGCGCCCCAGGCATCTGGCCCGCAGGCCTAGACCTACTATGCGGCCTGCAGCGGCCACGAAGCACCCGCAACAGACACAGAACCACACGTCCAGACGCTCGTGAAGACGTAGAAAATTGGAAGCATGAGGCCTGCCTCCTCCGATATGTGGGAGGCCCTCCCGCATCAAGAGCGTGGAGGGCCCGTCGCGCAGCAGCCCTGGACAGCGAGATGCCATCCACTGCGATCGCATGGAGCGGGAAGCTGAACACCTGCATCTCAAGCAGCTGCCTCGGCTGTCCAGCGCGTGCGACGAGCCGAAGGCCTCGACCATGCTGGGCGCAGGTGGGGCCTGTCGCCGTCGCCTCGCCCGTCGCACCGATGGCGTGAACTCTGCCTCGGCGCTCAGCGCATCCAGCGTAGCCCTCAACAGGCGCCGCCTGACCACCAGCGCCATCTGCTCAACCTGAAGCACTCGCCCTCTCTCGGTGGCAGGGAGACGGGCCAGCTCAGCGGCCTCACCTGCCAGGACGTCGGCGACCGCATTGCCCATGATCAGCCAGGGCGGGAGGCCCCGTCGCGCGGCCTCGTCCATGTCCAGGTGCGAGTTCGCGTGCTCCACTACGAACTCCGACCTGTCTCTCGCCAAGAAGAGCTGGCCCAACAGGGCCCACAGGTCGCAGTCGGCACCCTGCGGCTGCTGGTCACGTCGGCTCCACCAGCCCATGCAGACAGCCAGGTTGTCGGAGATGTAGACCGTGGGCCCCAAGGAGCCCTGCGCCGCAAGCACCGGCGCCCGTAGCTCTCCACGGTGCACGGTCTGCACGGGGCCACTGAGGCTGCCCCAGACGGCCTTCTCCAGCGCGCCGTCGAGCGGGTGGATCTTGGCCACGGCAAGCCCGACTCGCCTAAGATGAGGTACCTGCCCTTCACGTCCCCCGCTGGCGTCGCCAAAAAGGACGAGGGGGTCGAGCTCGGATCCATGTCCAAGCTCACCAGGGCCAACACCATCAGCACGATGACCTTGCAGGAAGATCCACGTGTCGCCATCGGGTGGGGCACTGACCTCCGTCCATCTGGCAGGGAGGATGCCCCTGAGCCAGAAGGCGGCGTGCGCCTCATGGTCGGTGGCCGCTCGGCCGCTGAACTCGTCGCTGTCGTCATAGGCTTTGCTGCCTGTATTGCATGGGCAGCTCCAGTATCTGTGGTAGGCAGTCTCATCATCGCCTCCGCAGCGCGGGCGCGACAGGAGCTCAACGTCGCCGAACACCTCCCTCTTTCTGGCTCGCGGCCACGCGCCTCCGACGGCGATGGTGGCGAGCAACTCTTCAAGCGCAGGTCCTCCTGGGAGTCGCCTGAGCTTCTGAAGGAGATTCTGCAGGGAACGCATGTCAGCTCCTCCCTCCAGGCCAGCCCCGCACCAATGACCTGCCGCGCGCTGCCACAGGTCCCCCTGGACTGAGGCGTCGAAGGCGTCAAGGATGGCTTGGCAGGAACCCTCGGTGATGCTGGCCGCGTCGGGAAATGCCCACCTTTCACGAGAGCCATCCTGAAGATGTCGCCCCCAACCACGGGGGCCCACAGGGCACCAGCCGTACTGCAACAGCATGGCCTGCAGGGCGGAGATGGGACCACGCACTAGCCTCGACCTGTCTTCAGGTGGGGTTTCGCGTAGCCTGGTATGGATGGGGATCCAGGCGCGCTCCACCCGCTGGCGCACCTCCTGGCTGCCTCTCCACACCTCGAACCAGTTCTTGAGGAGCGCCCGAGGGAGGCGCCGTGCAGGGTCAAGGGCTCCCGCGCGAAGAGCCAGCTGCGTGGTGAGGCACCTCCCACGCTTGACGGCGCCAGTGACTGACGCAAGCCGCCTTCGCAGCTCTGCAAGCCTGCTGCCGAAGGCGCCGAAGATCTCGAGGCCGTAGGTCGCTGCCGTCTGGAGTCCGACCTTTTCGGCGAACCCGCACTTCAGGCACTGCCTTGACGCCTTGGCCATGCCTCGGAGCCGTTTGCTCGCGTGCCTCGTCTTGCCGAAACGCTTCAGGATCGTGGAGCGCACTGGGCGCCTGCCCGCCGCGAGATCGACCCCCAGGCACGTGCCGAAGGAGGAAGCCTGGACGGTGAAACCGTGCTGCTTGACAATCTTGGCAACCTTGCGGGCGTCCTCCAGCTGCGAGCACACCACAACACTCTTGGGGGAGAGCGCCAAGCCTTCCTGCCGCATGCCCTGCCCGAAGTCGCGGATTCCCTGAGAGACGGCAGCGATCACGGCAGGGCGAGAACCCACCGCGGAGAGGGAGAGGTCATCCACCCAAATCCGCGGCGGCAAGAGCTGAGGCATCCCCTGCGGGGCCCCCGTGGCTAGCCGCTCCATGGTGAAGTACGTCATGCACCTGCCGAAGCGCGTGCCCGACCGCACTCCCTGGACAACCGACTGGGAAGGGATCACGATCCGCGAGGCCATGCCGTCCTGCAGCAGGACGCGCCCCGCCGTGCACTGCTGCAGCTCCAGGGCCAGGACGGCGGGCGGAAATCCGCACCGAAGAGCGGCCCTGGCCAGCCCCGTCCACGGCATGCTGTCATAGAACTTCTGAATGTCCACCAAGCCGTGCGCGTAGGAGACACCCATGGCCGCGTAAGACTCCTCGCACACGGCCCTGGCGAAGGCCTCCCGCAGCGAGGAGTTGCCAGCCACAGCTGCATCCCACGCTGGGGCCGTGCGGCGCGACCACTCTCGCATGGCGTCCTCCCTGACCATGCTCCCGCAGCGCGTGACCATGCTGAGGACGCCGATGATGCGCTCGCCCCCGCCTTTCTTCTCCAGGACATGGCCGAGCACGAGACGGAGCTGCTCTGGCCATGTGGCCGCTCTCTCAGCGGCGGTGTAGAGGTCCGCCAGCTCCTGCAGCGCCGCGTCAGGCAGCCTGGCCAGGTCGCCCACCGTGAGCTGGTCGATGCCCTTGCCCGTCTTGGGCCGCATGCGCCTGGGGGCCCGACGGATGTCAGCCACCGTGATGGGCTCCATCTCCTCGTGCTGCACCAGCTCGCGAAGCTCCCCGAAGAGCGCCTGTAGGTCACTGGGGCCGTAGGGACGTGGAGCCCACAACCCACTCCACGCATCAGCCTTGGCGTCGAGGATGT